AGCTTCTTTGCAATTGTAGTGGCCAGGCTGACTTTATTTCTCAAGGTCAATTGAGCCGAAAAAAATTTCTACAAAAACAATAAACATACCAAGTTAGATATACCAAAAACTACACTGTGAAGATATACCAAAAACAATAAACATAAAAAGTAGTAGTTTATTCTTTAAACTAAAATTTGCAACACTGTTTTGTCTTTTGGTTGAAATGAAAATCGCAACGAGAGAATCGCAACGCGAGATGACAATCGCAACGAGAGAATCGCAACGCGAAATGAAAATCGCAACGAGAGAATCGCAACGCGAAACCAAAATCGCAATGCGATTTTGGTTTCGCGTTGCGATTCTCTCGTTGCGATTTTCATTTCGCGTTGCGATTCTCTCGTTGCGACAGTCATTCTCTCGTTGCGATTTTCATTTATCTCGTTGCGACTCTTCTGCAAATTGAAACTTGAATGGATTGCATTACTTCAACCAAAAGACAGAACAAAGACAAAGACAAATACTAACTTGAAAATCGCAACGAGAGAATAGCAACGCGAAATGAAAATCGCAACGACAGAATCGTAACGCGAAATGAAATCTAAGTGAAATGGTTAATCTATTATTGAAATGACCAGTAACTTATCATCAGTTCAATATGAAAAACCTACAATAATGCAAACATTTCAAAATAAAAATAATTAAAAAACTAACCCTCGGAGGTTGATTTTCCATTTCTGAATATTGTGAGGGATTTCTGACCGTGAATGGTTGTGAGGGATTTCGCCGGAGATGGGGACGGAAATCTTCGGAGATGGGGACGGATTTCTTCGCCGTAGAGAGTGAGAGATGGAGATGGGACTGAGTTGTGATTTTAGGTTTTAGGTTATGAGTTGCGATTACGGGATTTTGTCTTAATATTCTTTTTGTAATTTGAAAATAAAATACGCGTAGCGATTATAATGGCGCTTTAAATATCGCGTTGCGATTTACGGATACGCGTTGCGATTTTATGTATTATCGTTGCGATTTACGGATACGCGTTGCGATATACGGATACGCATTGCGATTTACCCATACGCGTTGCGATTTACGGATACACGTTGCGATTTACGGATACGCGTTGCGATTTATGTGTTCGCGTTGCGATTTTCATATTCGCGTTGCGATTTTGGAAAATCGCAATGCGAATTTGTACTATCGCATCGCGATTTTCAAGAATCGCGTTGCGATTTTGGAAACTGATTTGCGATTCTGGAAACTGATTTGCGATTCTGGGGATCGCGTTGCGATTTTTATTTCGCGTTGCGATTTTGTTGGTCATTTTGGCAAATCCAAAAAAAGTTGGTTAAAATCGTATATTATAACTTTTTTTTGGTCACTGAGGCGATTTTCTCATAAAGAAAAGACATGGCTGCTTTTAAGTTTTGACCTTTTACAAATGAGCATGGACCTCCTTTCCACATGATTCTTCTTCAACCACAGTTAATGTGTTGACTTGCAAACCCTAGTCAAGATGATAAGTTTCTAGTTGGCATGCCCTATTAATTCCATTATTTATGGACAACTTTCCAGTTGACCTCTATCTCTCTACCTACTTAACTACGAAGGCTTGCAAGATGATTCGAATGACCAAGTGGGTGCTGATGTTGTAGGAGCTACAGTATGTTGCAGCCATTTGTTTTCCATGGAAGCCATTGCAGTCAGAGCAACTATCTAGAGCCCCAAATGGTTACGTAAAGGGAAAAAAAATTATAAAAGTTCCATTGCGGGGAATTGAACCCGGCTCTGTTTGGGTGAAAGCCAAATATACTTACCACTGGACGACAATGGATTACTGATTTTGGGGCATATTTTAAAATTTTCAAAACTATAATTAATTATTAAAGTATACCTTGCAGTACGATTTTTTGTATATAATATAATTTCATCACAACTATAATTGAGATTAGTTTTATTAAAGTGGATAATATTATAAGGATGATAAAGTATTTCATAAAATAATTTATTATATTATACTTTTAAAATTTCGAATTTAAAATTATAGTTAAATGAAAACAGTTTTATGTTAATTGATTCAAATGTTCTATGATTTTAATTAATAAGTTTTATTAAAAATGTTTATATTGTATAGATATTTTGAAATATTTTTTTAAAATAAATAATTATATCTAATAAAAAATATTTATTTTTCGGTAAATTAATTTTAAAAAAATTAAATTACTATTACAACCTTATAAATCTGTACTTTTTAGTTTATACTTTAATATTTACATACTTTCCTAATTGAATTAATGTCACTAAGTTAGGTTACATTGAAATTAATCAAATACTTAAATATAAAATAAAAAGTTTATGTAAATGAACAAGTGATCATAGGTTAAATGATTAAAGTTTTGTATTTTAATCTATTGATTTTGTGTTTGGATCTCAAATTCTTTCTTATTTTTATTTAAAAAGTTTATGAACTCCATCTGTTCTCCAATTTTCACCAATATCTTACAGCATGTGATGAGTAGCACAGCACAAGTGATTCCCAAACAACCTCGTCATTACTGGTTTCCCTCACTCATTGTTCGGCAGTGCCACCATAGTGCCGAGAGCCATGGACCGTGACTTTCTTATAGGGATGGCAACCTTCGAACAACATTACCGAGGATTAACCGGACCTTATTTCTGACTTTCTCTTGGGGCTTTCCGGTTTCGGAAGACGAAATAAGGGAACTCTTCACTAAGATACACGATGTCTGTGATAGTATACGTATATAGGATACTGTCCCTCTTGATGAACAGCCTTTGTTTGCAAGAATGGCTCTACGCGGCGTTACGAACGTAGATCAAATCTTGAATGGGAGACATGTAGCTTAGCTCCGGATTGATGATGGAAAGCGTAGGTGCACCGAGGAATGTTGATGATAGTAATTTATAGCTGTTACCTTTTTGGTAGGAAACACAGCTTTTGGGACTTAAAAAAGCTTCCCTGCATGCATTGTTTCATAAATGTTAGCCAACTATATATTATTTTTTGTGAATCAAAACTATACTTTTATCAATGTTGAGTTGGAATATGCACCGTAGGGCGCCAAAGGCACAAAATTTGATGTACATTAATCGTGGAGTTTAGCATAGGGTAGAAGTAGAGAAGATTGGAGAACAGTTTGTGGTTAAAAGTGAGTTGTAACGAAGGATGGATTCTGCAGGGTTTGATCAATGGGATATAGAAATATTTTGAGGGTGGATATACATATTAATAGTAAAAAAATTTCTAGGTGGATAGGGCTGTAAACGAACCGAGTCCGAGTTCTAATATTACTGAGCTTGACTCGACTAAACTTGAAAACTCTGCAATGGGAACTCTTCAATAAGATACATGGCATCTGTGTTGATAGTGTACATATGCAGGATAATATCCCTATTGAAGAACAACCTTTGTTTTCTAGAATGGTTCTACACTAACGTCGATCAAATCTTGAACAGAAGACGTGTAGCGAAGTTCTGGATCAACGGTAAACACATATGGGCGCTGAAGTATGAACGGAGAGAGAAGGTACGCCAAAGTTTCCTTGTATGCATTGTTGCATCAATGTTCGCCAACTATGTACTGTTTAGCGCCAAAGGTACAAAAATTTGACATTTGCAGTTGCAGAGAGGTAGCCTTTCTTGTTTGAAAAGGATAAAAAAATTGCGTCTGCCGGGAGTCGAACCCGGATCTATTGCTTGGAAGGCAATTATCCTAACCGTTGGACTACAAACGCTTATTGAAATATATCTATATTGGTTTTTTAACAACATATTTAAAATGTCAAAATCATCAGATTTGAGAGCAGCGTCTTCTCGTTATGAAGAATTAACTAGATCTTAATCCAATGATTTGGGTGAATAATCTCATCAATTTAATTAATGCGAAGTTGATGCCCCATTTTCATGAAAACCAACCCAAAACTACTTCTTCATCATTCAAATGTTATTGAATCATAAATTCGTAATTCTAAACTTGTAATATCCCATAATAAAATGTGTCATCAATTATAATTTTAAATTATTTGAGTCAATTTAAAATTTTAATTTGAATTTTGAATACTAGTAAAATTAGAATTTACAAGATTCAAATAATAAAAAAATTGAAAATTAAAACAATATTTTTTTTACGTCTTTAACTAAATAATTTATTATTTTTTGATTTAATTTATGATTTCTCTTATTTTTCTATTTTTTTCAAATTTATCAAATATGTATTGATTGTACCTTTTTCCCATATGTATGGGGTAAGGGGGAGGTAAGATAGTAGGCTGCCCCCAACACTAGGTTGAGAGCAGCTTCCGTAGGAGACCTCCAAATTATGAAATGCCCTCCGTGGGACTTGATCCCACGACCTCAAGGTTTAGAACCTTGTGCTCTACCAACTGAGCTGGATGGTCATTTCTTATCAAATATGTATTGATACTGTAAAAATTCCACGTCCTACTTTATGTAATTGCTTGGTCTTAATATAGTCCTCCATGCACCAAAAATGAAAGAAAGCAACTGCCCCGTCGAATATTCCACCATTTATTGCTTTCCATGAAACACAATCCTTTTTCTTTTGGACATTTTATCAAACACTTCCCGATCAAGCTCAGTTCCTCCTTTGCAACTACAACACATGTGAATCAGCGTGCTTACAACATGATTAGTCACATGGAGACCAAATTTTAACAACGACCCATGTCCGGGAAGGCCTAAATTCAAGTCGCCAATGGCAGCAAAGGCCTTTGAAAACAACTGGGCACATGCAATTGTTGGCATGGAACTGAAAACCCATAAAGCTTTCGCCTTTAAGTTCGTAATTTGAAAAGGAAAAGCAGAAAACTGCTTGTAGAGACGATGGAAGTGAATTCAGTGTTAGCTTACCAACAGTAAAGAAGCGTTCCACGTCAGTGTTTCTTTTCGGTCCCTTGTGGATAGTAGAACGATCGCCACGTCATTTTTCCAGTTCTTCCCTTTCTATTCAACTACAGAAAACAGAACTTTGTTTCTCTTCTTCTTCTTCTTCTTCTTCTTCTCAATTCGCAAGTCTAGATCAACGATTAGGTTTTAAAAAAAAAAGGGAAAATGAGAAGAATTTTTTCGATATCTTCGCTTCTGAATCAAGGGTTTGTTCAAAGAAGAGTTTTTAATAAGTATCGCATCAATGCAATTCGTCCATATTCAGAGGATCTTTCTTACCCGAAATCTCCAGGTTTGTTCTTATGCTCGAGTTTTTCGTCTTACATTTATTTATTTCATCTTCTTCATGCTATCTCCGGCTAATAACTCGAACTGGGTATTTCCCAGATTTTAGTATTCTTGTTAACTTGGATAAAAATTTAGGATTTTGAAGTATGAGAGATCAGTACAATGTTCTAGTTTGTTTGTTTCTAGAGAAAATAAAAATAAAAAAGGGTTAACCTTCTTGATCTGACTCTTTAGTTTTCTTGAAATATGTGTAGTGGACCCTTATGTCTTAAGCATAAACATGAGAAAGATTTAGCCATATCTAGACCTGAGTCCTGAGTAATATAGCATTTGTTTTTATAACTGGAATTAAGCAAGCTAATGCTTTGAATATTTTCTTCCACTTTCAGGGCCTCTATTGCAATACCGGAAGTTGGTGGAGCAAGGAAGGCTTGAGCATGATCCTTACCAAGAAAGGGTTGCTTTGGCATTGGAAAATTTGCTGGGGAGGTTGGAACAGTATGAAAAAGATATGGAGGAATATCATGTATATATGAATTCTCATTGACTGTCGTGCCATATATATTTCTTCTTATGCAATTTCTATGATATTTGTTTGTATGATCCAGTGTTTAAATTTCCTATAGATTAAGCTAGCTGAGTGGGAGAAAAACAGGGAGAATGAGCATCGGAGGCTTTTGATGGAGGAAGCTGAGAAAAATCAGCGGGGGGACCTTTGGACATCAGTTAATAAGCGCAGGAGTGAACTTCTAGAAAGATGGGCGTTCCGGTGAGGCATGCTAGTTCATTTTTTTCCGAAAAACTACATGAAACATTTGGATAGAAATTACATTATGTTCATTTTCCAGTTCTTGTGGCATTAATGGAGTTCCGATTGACTCAGGGGAAAATCTGAAGATATAGAACCCGGAGTTGGTAAGTGGGTTTCATACCTCAATCGTGAGAAGAAGTTGGATTCACTTGTTGGTCGTCGTCCTACTGCTCCTCCAGCCCCAAAAGGACTATATATATATGGGAATGTTGGAAGTGGTATGTTGCCAAATTTCATCTACAGTAACTGTGAGGTTTTGTAGATCAATAATTAAAGCAGTAAAAATTGGAAATTTGACTTGCCATTTTATTGGGTTCAATCTCCTTGTGTATCCTTTTCCATAATTCTTCCAGGTTGAACAGACTGTTGTTACAGAGTTATTAACTTATGCAGGGAAGACAATGCTTATGGATATGTTTTATAGTGCCACTGATGGAATAGTTAAACATAGACAAAGGTTCCATTTTCATGAGGTGAGCCTTTTAATTGTGTTCTACGTATGTCTTGAGTAATCTCAGTTTGAATATATAATAATTGTATTTTTATAAGTGAAAGCTTACTGTTTCCAAAGGCACACAAAAGAGCATTAGTATTATTTACCTATCTTTCTAACTATCCACAACACTCTCTTCCCAAAAATAAGCTCATTCTTGTGCAAATGGTCACTATTTTCTCAATATAATCATGAATTTATAGGGAATGGTAATATGGTAATGAGTAGTTTGCACCTTTTGTTCTCTAACAAAAAAAAAGCATGGAAGTTAGAATTGCTTTACATTTTGGCAGGCGATGCTCAAAATAAATGAAGCTATGCATAAGTTGTGGAAGAATCAAGTTGAGGAAAAGTCTATTAAATCATGCATATCTTCTTGGATTATGAATCTTCCCTTTGATATGAAAGCCAAGGAGTGGTTAGCCGCTGAAGAAAGATACAAACAAGAGGTTCAGATGAAAAATATTCTTCCTGCAGTGGCAGATGAGTTTCTTGTTGACAGGCAAGCAGGCGAAAAAGGAGCTAGCATTCTTTGCTTTGATGAGATACAGGTAATGTTTTTCTTCCAAATAAAGGTCGTGAATCCTTGATTCTGGTTGGTGATATCTACTGCTATAATATGATAGTTTCTTAAAGTGGGAAAATAAGAGAAGGGTTATTTTAGTATTGTTTATAGCTATGAATCTTAGTTCCATTTCTATTGCATTGTTGGCTGTTCTTCACTGCACGCTAATGTTGCTAAAATAACAGTTTTCAGAATGCGCAACTGGTGTTATATCTTGAGCTGTCTTGCTTTCTGTTACAGACTGTTGATGTTTTTGCTATCGTTGCCTTATCTGGAATTTTAAGCAGATTACTCAGTACTGGAACTGTTCTAGTTTCTACTAGTAATCGGGCGCCGAATGATTTAAATCAGGTACTTTCAGAAAAATCAATTCCTTTTGAGTCAATTGATGTGTATGACTTCAATTATTCCGCAGTTAACAATTAATGAGCTTTTCCCCCTCTTTATAATTTTCTTATACAGGATGGTATGCAACGAGAGATCTTCCAAAAATTAGTAGATAAGTTGGAAAAACACTGTGAGATTATTTTGGTTGGAAGTGAGATTGATTATCGCCGACAACTAGCACATAGGTCTATAGATAAGGTGATTTTAATTCTGTTTTCCTTTCGTTAGTTGAGATGAACAACGTTTTCGTTCTGTATTCCTAATTGTCTATAATCAATTTCTTTTCCCGCTTTAAAGCAACCTGAAAATCTATTTAGTGGTTGATTTTTTTCTTCTAATATTTAGTGGTTGAAGTTAGCTTTTGCATATGCAGGTTCATTATTTTTGGCCCCTAGATGGCACTGCTCAAAAGGAATTTGAGAAAATGTGGTGTCAAGTTATAAACCAGGCTGGAGGAGAAGTCACATCCAGTACTGTTCCGGTGATGTTCGGAAGGTAATTGTTAATCTAAGGGCATATGTTTTAGATCCATTAATTCTATTGATTAATTTTATTTTATACAACAGGACATTGGAGGTGCCTGAGAGTTGCAATGGAGTAGCACGGTTCACATTTGAGTTTCTTTGTGGTCGGCCGGTATTATACTCACCTTATCATTAATTCATGCATTATTATTCCTTTTCTCTCTCTTCTTTAGGGGAAATAGCAGCCAAATCAGATACTTGTTTATAATTCTAATTACTAACCTATAATTTGTTTGTTAATTCAATTCGTTTCTCCGGATATGTGCTTTCTCAATCTTCTTTAGGGACTTAATAGAATATGAATTTCCAACATTTATAAAACCTGAACTTATTTATAATTGGTTCTTTACTGCCACTTTCTTACTTTCAATTATCTGCAGGTAGGTGCTGCGGATTATATCGCTGTTGCTAAAATCCATCATACAGTCTTCATCTCTGATATTCCAGTTATGAGTATGCAAAACCGTGACAAGGTATCATTTCTATAGACGGGAAAAAAGTAACTCATAGCTTTAGGTGCTGCATTCCTTACCAAACCATAAGTTCTATCTTTCGACATTTCAGGCACGTAGATTTATTACCCTCATCGATGAGCTGTACAACCATCATTGCTGCCTATTTTGTTTAGCAGCTGCTTCAATTGATGACTTATTTCAAGGAATTGAAGAGGGCACACTCTTTGATCTTGAAAGGTAAACCTTATATTTGTTTCTACAACTGTTTTTGAATGTAAATCACTAGATCTAGCATTAATGAAAATGAACAAACCTTTTCATTGCTGGTTATCAAATGATCCTGTTAGAAAGATCTGTTTGCAACTAATTGAAAACATTATCCGTTTCTGTTTCCAGTTTCCAGTTCGAAACAGAGACAGAAGGCGCAAAACTTCGACGAAATGTTTTGGTAGAAGGGAGTGTGAGTTCCGGAGGTGCACCAGCTGGTATAACATCCATGTTATCCGGTCAAGAAGAGATGTTTGCCTTCCGCCGAGCAGTAAGCTGCCTTTTTTCAGATGTAACATCCTTTCTATGCTATGTTAGGAAAAGCATATTGATGACAACCAATGATCTACTTATTAGCTTAGCAGAATTATGATGGGTATAATAAAATCTACCTTTGTAGGTATCTCGCTTGATTGAAATGCGGACACCTTTATACCTCGAAGGAGTTCGTTCCCTTCATCCTTACTTCCAGAGGAAGCCCCAAAATTTCGAAAATCATAGTTATAGTGCAAGCACTGAGCAACACCGAGTGTCATAACTGGCAGTAAGTTTACATGGTCCATGATGATTGCCCACATATAGTCTCTGTATCTGTTATAATAATGGGTCAATTTTTTTAAACATTTGTTGTGCTTTCAACCCAATTCATTTCTCGTCAAGAGACTTACTGAAATCATCTAATAAAACCAATAGCGATTTTGCTGTTATCAGCGGCCTTTCTTCTTTGAGAATTAACATGACCTACAACTAAAATTCCCATGCCGAGAACTCGGATTTCATCTCTTAATGGTGCCCATTTGAAGGGATTATCTGGGAATACTGGTAACTCAAAACTTTCAACTTTGTTGAATTAATGGCTGCAAGGGATCCTAAGGTAGATGTTTTAACTGGAATTTATTCTCCTACTTGTTCCGTGTTATTCTATCTTCTTACATTCTGCACTTTACATACTGTCACCGATGTCGAACTCCATGCCGACTTTATGTTAGAATCGGTTTTATTCTCAATCTTAGGATCTGCTTTATGTTTTATGTCAACATCTCTCGACACATTTATCGTCGTTTATTTCCATAAAAGGATCATTTTGGGCACAACCTTCCCTGTTAACTCTATAAAAGGGAAACTCATGTACATAGATAGATAGGAGCACTGCATGTATCAGATCCTGTGGTCCCTGTGGTCACTGCTTTATTCGCCACAAAAGAAAACCAGTGAATCTCAAAATGGGACATGATGAGAACAACTTATCATGACCCTTTGATTGGATTCTTGTAAAAACCGAATGTCCGGCCCCATTTTTTCAACACTCGAGTGTTCAGCCGAAACACCTTCTCCAACACTCGAGTGTTGAGCCAGAAACGGAAAGTCGAAATGTGACAATTTTATTTAAATAGATGGCGTATAATTTTGATAATGTATGATACAGTTTTGATCTTTTGATATGATTTTGTTCCCCCTACCAGTATTTTGTTCTTTTTGTTTTTGTAATTTTTTATTATTATATAATTTCAGGTTTTATATGATTTATATCATATTTGATATTGTTTCAATATCATTTATATAATTGTTAAACATTTGATATAATATTCATACTTTTCTTTTAATTAATTTAGTAGCTTCTAATATAGTTGTAATCCCAATTCAGGATAGTAAAATTGGATTAATATTTATTTGTTAACTATCAATTTAAAACTTAGAAATTGAAAGATTATGATAAAATTTGTTTAATTTTTAAAATTAAGAAGGATATAATAAATATTTAAATAAAAAAGAACGTCAGATTTAATTATCTCATTTAAAAAATAAGCAGCGAAAAATAGGGACAGGTAAGTTTTTATAGTTTTAAAAAAGGACTTTAAAAGTAATTAGACATAAATAAATTTTGATGAGCATGCTTTTATGGCATCTCAGGTTTGTATTTTGATCTTTGGAAGATGTCTTATTTTTTACTTAATTAAAAAATAAGTATATGATTTTTCTGTTAAAGTATGTATATAATATTTTATTATTTTAAGATTGAATAGTCAACTTTCAATAAAAATTATAATTCACTGAATATATAACACATGATTTTATTCATAATTAATTTTTAATGTTTAATTTAAAAAATGAAACTCTTAAAAATCTATCATTTTTCTTTTAAAAAATAAATCTCTAAATTTTATATATCATCATATTATTTGAATCAATCACTATTAATTATCATTTTTATCAAATATTTACTATCAATTTTTTTATCGTTGACAGTGTTTGAACCTTCAATCATTTGAGAGATTTTAAGAATTTTGATTTTCTTTTAAATTATAAATTTTAAGATTTTTTTTTAAATTAAAAATTGTTAAAATTTTTATTTTAAGAAAATAAAAAGTAAATAAATTTTCATAGTGCGTGTTAAGTAATCATTCGATGATAATTTTTTAATGAACATTGATAATTTAATCTTAAAATAATAATAAAATAAAATTTTAACACTTATTTTTTAAAAAATTAACATCTAAATAAAATTTTAATTTTTCAGTTAAACATCAATTTTTAACATTATAAATTTTCTATAAAATCATTTGATTAATTTAAAAGTAGAAGAATTATCTGATAATATAGTTTTTAAATTTTATAAGTAAAATAAAAAATATATACTATAATATATGTAATTAAAAACTAATCTGAATAAATTAAATAAATAATAATTAAACTTCCCATTTGAGCCATTTGATGTCCCCAAAAGACTGCATATCTGTCACTTCCCATTGTTAAACAGCCTTTTTTCCACGCGCCAAAACGCCGTCTTCTACAGTCGATATTCCTCTATGCCCATATTCTTCTATGGTCTACAGTCTTAAACTTCCACAAAATTCACTCCTTTGAGAGTTGAAAATTCTGGGAAAAGAAGAAAAAGCTTAAATCTTTCTAATGGACTTCAAATTCAGAGCGGTTGATTATCAGCCGTCAAACTCTTTTCCTTCATCGTCGTCGAGCTTCAATCCATCACTGTCGGGTGACTCGGGTCAAATATTTCGACCTTACCGTAACGTCATTCTTGGTCGACCCGAGACCGTCGAATGGGACAAGTTGCAGATCAGGGATGAGATAATCGCGTCGGAAATCGCACGTCGGAGGGCGTTGGAAGCCGAGGTGAGGAGGGAGTTGATGGCCGAACGGGAAATGGCGGCCCAGCAGAGATTTAGGGAAACGGGTTTGTCTTACGAGCAAAGCTTTACAATGCGCCTCGACTCTAGGCTTCCTTTCGTGCCTCACTTGCATAGCCTGAAGCGCTGGAGGACTGAGGCGTGTTTCAACATGTTTCCACCGGCGTTGCTGCCACCTCTGGTCGTGTTGCCTCCACCGGTAACAGAAACTTTGGACTCTCAGGTTAAGGATACGTCGGAGGACAAAAGGAATAAGCTGATTATACTGGTAAGCCCAAGTTTAAAGGGATAAACTTGAACAACTTTATATACACTGTTTTCTCATGTAAGATGCTTATGCACAATGGACATAGAAGCATGAACCCTTTTGAATGTATGGGTTGGGTCCTTTAACTAGCCAACAAGATTAAGCCTTTGAGACCATAAGCTAATGTTGCCGTAGTACTAGATTTGTGCTTGTAGATTAACTTAATGGTGATCTATTAATTCATATTGTTAACCCTTGCTGTTTCCTAATGAGACATTGCAGCCATGGATCAATCATAAAGATATTTTCCAAGATTTGTAGCTGCTTTTACTCGTGTGTTTTATGATCTACTGCATTCTTCCTAGAGTACAATAGATTGATGATGAATTTGATGTTCCATTAGCAACACCTTTTTGTTCATGGCATGTTACAATAATGTGGGCCTCATTGCTCTGCATTGCTCAACATTTATGCTTCCTTCTGTCGAGCTATCTTTTAACATGTAGCAACGGATGGCAGCTGCATACACCATTTTGTTTTGGGTCTGTACATGCATTGCATGTATGCTTCTACATGCTTTATTTAGCATTTTCTTTGGGATCTCAATGGAAGTTGATCTGATCTTGGTATTCTGTTGTCTGCTTCAAAAGTTTCTCACGACAGCTGAGAAAACAAACCAATATATTTGTTTATTGTTAGATTTTCAAGTAGAGATAATAATTGAATCCGTCTAAAGTTAATTGGATTTAGTTTATGTTGATGTGCACAAATTCATTTACTTTCTTCATTTGCTTGCATTTATAAGATCTTCTTCTATGTGTGTGCCTCTAAGTTTCATAATTCATAGTGAATCATGTAAATATGTTTGGAAGTGCCAGTTCTTGCAAAGCTCGTCTGTTTTTGTCTACTTTGCTTGTGCCTAGAATGAAAGTATATCCCCCCAAAAAAAAAAAAAACTATTGAAGACTTATCTATCTTTGAGGTCTATGCTGCATTTTGAGACTGATTTAGCTGTATTTTGACAATTGTTTGATTAATACTTTTGTGTGCCATATGCAGCCTAAGCCTGATCCTAATCGTGTTCTTGGAGCAAAACGGAAACCACCACCTCCAGCAGAAACCAGTGAACTGCGTCAATTGCTAATTAGCTCGAAGGTGAAACAAAATGATGAGTGGAAGTGTGGCATTTGTAAGATCAATGTCACTAGTGAGAAAACTTTGGCCGAACACCTCGGAGGTAAGAAGCACAAGGCTAATGAAGCAAGACAAAAAGCTAGGAAGACAGAGGAGAATTCCGATCCCAGTACCGATATCATCACATTGCAAAAGAAACTCAAACAGTCAGATGAAATTGGAGGATAATGAAAAGATAAAGATTGAAAAGGATGATTTGCTGATTAAGAGAGGGGGGGGTGGAAAAGTTTACTGAAGAGAAACCTGCAGATTCCCTTGAGATGAAATGTGCACCAACTGCAATGGATGAGATGGAGAAGACACCAGAACTTAGCAATGAAAAGACAAAGAATGAAGAGGATGAACACTGATTAAGAGAGAGGAAAAGGCGAAATGGTTTCCGGAAAAGAAATCTGCAGATTTCCTTGAGAAACACGCGCCAACTGCAATCGATGAGATGAAGAAGACACCATTAGCAAAAAGATAAAATTTAAGTTTTGGTGTGAAATCTGTTCAGTCGGTACGCATTCTGGGGTGGTAATGAAAACTCATAAAACAGGGAAAAAACACACTCGACGACACCTGGAAGTCAGCAAACGTAATGTAGCTGCCCTCGCTGCTGCCACCAGTGATACCGTCACTGAGCAGGAAGATCTAATGATGCTCAAATGCCAAAAGTATCCGATGAAGCAAAGCTAAATTAATTGTCAAAACCGAAGAGGACATACTCTTCAACATGTAGGAGCTCTCCCAAAATTAAAGTATGTAATTATCATCTGAGACTTCAAATCAGATATTGGAGTTTTAGCTGAAATCCAAAATGCACCCAAGATTGATCAATTATTAAATGCCAAGGGCTTAGAGCAAATATGACATTAGTTTTGACCTTGTTGCGTCCTTATCTGACCCATAAGAGTGCAGGAATTGATACTTAAACCTAACATTCAAGCTCTCTCTTATGTAACATTTGGACTTTTACCATGCACTTAGACATCATTTGGTGCTTGCATTCGCTTCAGGACCTTGGTTTTGGACCAGCCGAAACCCTCGAATACCGAGTGTTTGTGGTTGTATTCTAATCGAAAGTGGCAACTTCCAGCCTACTCTAAATACCCATTTCAAGAACCATGATCGAAATGTAAACCATGGAAGCTATGCACCAAAATTTTGGTAATCTTTCAACAACCATTCACACCACAGATAATTGCAAGCAGTTCTATATATGCCTACTATATTTTCTTTACAAAAAGAGAATGAGAACATATAGCAATTAAAGGAGGGGGAGTTAGGCAAGCTAAATTCACTTAGTCCTCAACCCCTCCAACTAAGCAACTTCTATTACACGAGATTTAAACCCTTAATGCCACCTGATCCTGCCATGAGATCTTTCTTTTTCCAACTCTGTTCGGTCCGTTTCCTGTGTTCCTGCAGGCTGATATTTTAATGTCATTGTTCTGCTTGTCACTTGCAATTCGGAATGAACTTTTCTTGAATTCCTTTATTCTCATAGAATTGTCCATGGCCTGCAATTCTTCCTCCTCTCTCTGCAATGGAAGACAAATTGAGATGAAATTAGCTTGTTTTAAAAGATAGCATGGTGATTGTGATGAATACAACTCGTCATGGTTATAAATAGATTACCGAAATCTGGTTTAAATCGAAAACCGGTGTCATGGTTTGGGCAGTAGCCTCCTTTCCACTGTAAAGCCTTTCCCTCTGGTTTAAATCAAGAATCAGTGAAGAACTTTGCAAAAGAACATCCTCCTTCCCGTTGATATTTTTGTACTGCTTCCATTTTAAGTCAAACATGTGAGAAGGATGAATAAAAGAGGCTGCCTTTTCACTATAAGTCTTTCTCTTTTGGTTCAGATCAAACGACGTTGCTAGGCAGCGCAAACTACTTTCCCTTCCGGTTGAATTATTTTCCTTCACATTTGATTTACTTCTAACCACTGTATTCTGTGGCTGCACAAAGTTCCGGCCGGCTTCAATGTTTGATGAACGGTTTTGCACCAGGAACTTGTGCCTCCTTTTCAAAAACCTAAAAACAAAATCCCGGTCAAAACTCGAAAAACCAAATAAGAACTCTATATTGGTATCTAAGATTCTAAAGCTATATGAATCCTAAAATGTAAAGGAGGAACAACATCATACCGAACTTCGGCCAACAGGGTGAATCTTCGCTCTTTCATCATCTGCAATTTCTTCTCATGGCTTCTGTTTCCTGAAACATAAAGCATCCCTCAAATTTCTATTGGAGAAAGCATTCCATTTAGAACAAATTAAGGATTTAGGTGGAAAAAATCAACAATTTAATCATCAATCATAGCAATGAATTGAAAACAAATACATATCAATGGAAGTAGAAGATCCAAGCAATCAACATGTCATCTTCTTATTCTCAAACAATTCTTAAAGATTGAAAGGGAAAAAAAACAAGAACACCAACACCAAATCTAAATAATCTGGGGGAAAAGGTTACCTTGTGCAAGTCTGCAAAGTCTTGCATAAGACTCTGGTGCTTGAACCTCGTCCTTTGGTCCACATGCATCGCATATGGAGAATACTCCATAGCAGCAACAACCCCTTTCATCTTCTTCATGGATAAATATCACAAGGTTGAGGTTAAGAGAAAAAACCCAGATGGCTAAAATAAGGAAATAGAAATAAGAAAAAGGAATATGAACAAGGAAAGAGCGAGAGATAGGTAGGAAGGTTCTCGGTTAGCTGTTTAGTCTGTGAAAAACTCTGACCGAGACAAAGAGAAAGACCCAACGAAGGCCACATAATAATTCGGTGGAAAACATGTTTTTTTTCTTTACTGAGACTTGAGATACAGTAATGAAGATTGGGTTTCTTCTTTGATTTTCTTGGTCTTTGGTCTGTTTCATTCCCCACCCCAATGAAAGAGAGAGAAAAGGGTAAAGGTGAAGCCTTTGATGCGAGAAATGGGTGGGATGAAAAAAGAGCAGCAAAAGGATAAAAACAGGGTTTTATCTGTTTGAGTTCTGGTGTCAAGTTTCAATAAAGAAAGAGATGGTTTTTATTTCACATTGCTCCAGGCCCCATTGCCTATATCTAATTTCCCACCAAGACCTCTTTGTTTTCAAGGAATGCTTCAATTTCAAGGAATGGTGGTGTACCCCAATGAATAGTGGTGATGATGAAACCTGCTAGAGTGCTAGTCTTCACCCGCCATGTGCTTCCCTTGTTTTGCTTATCCATCTGTTATATGGAATGTGACAGTGAAATTGAAACAAACGGGGTTAATTGCACGAGTGGTTCTCCAGAATTGTGATTCTTTTTAACCAGCTTCAGAGTGACTGTCCATGTGAAAGTGAAAACAAGGGCTTGGAATTAAGTCAAAAGTTTTAGCAGTGGAGGACAAAAAAGGTTGAAAAAATAGGAGAAAATAACCTCAGTGACCGAAAATTTCTTATAATATACGATTTTGATTAACTTTTTTTCCGATTTGCCAAAATAACCAACAAAATTGCAATGCGATCTCTAAATCGCAACACGATCTCTAGTATCGCAAATCAGTTTCCAGATTCGCAACGCAATTTTGACTATCGCAACGCGATTCTGACTATCGCAACGCGATTCTGACTGTCGCAACACTGAATTTCAAATTCTCAACAAGTTTTAGTTTCACAACACAAATGTTTTGGGTATATAACTACGCAGCAGAAGTAACTTATAACCTAAATCCCTAAATCGCAACTCATTCCATCTCCATCTATCACTCTCTCCGGCGACATCCGTTCCTATATCCAACGACATCCTTCCCCATCCGGCAATAGGTTTTAGTTTCGCAGCTCGTTTGTTTAGTAAATTAATTTACAATAATGAAATCATCTAATGTTGATCATGTTTGGATAGATTTGTGTTTTGGAGGGTTATGGGAGAATGTTCATGGTGTTTTACAATATATGCATTTACTCATGAATCTTCAACTAAAACTGTCATTAAAATAGTTAATTTATGAAACCCTAATATTACGTGTTGCAAATAAATTGAATTTAGAGCCCCTAAGTGGATTTAGGTTATCTTATCAGAGAAAAGGTAAAGTTTATTTGTTAACCGACAATGAAGATGTTGAACGATTAATTGCTTACATTAGTGTTTCGCAAGATGATGTTACATTGTATGTTGTTGAACCTAGAAGTAGTGAATTTGGGTCAGTAGCGGGTAGTAATCCACTAAGTTTTTCAACCCCAATTTATGGTGCTCAAAATTTAATGGTTCCACCACAATTTTATCACCAAGCAAATTTTGTTTTACCACATTTCCAATACCAAACACAATCTCAAAACCCACAACCTTTCCCTAATCCAAATCCCAATCAACTTTCAGCACCAAATTCCGATTTTCGTATTGACCAGTTAGACGATGATGAGCCAACAGAAAAAATTGTGAGTACTAGTCAGTATTCAAAATTTGATCTTGGTCAATACCCGGACTTTGATCTTGGTCAATACTCGGATTTTGATGATGTTTCAGAAGAAGAAACAGCCCTGCTGTAATGATTTTGATATTGGTCAATACCCAATTTTGATGATAACAGTCGCTGCCGAGGAAGATGTTGTTGATGATAATGAGGAGGAAGTTATGAATGTGATGAACATGTTAACATTCATTATGTAATTCATATAACCCTGAAGAAGAAAAAAGAAGAAGAAATCCCCGAAGAAAAGTCCCCGAAGAAAATGCCACGGAGTATAACTGGAATATGCCAGAATTACTTCAGATACCGGAAGAAGAGTTGGTAAAGATAGCAGTTGATTGTTACACAAAAATTATTCGTATTAAGAAAGATGATTGTTTTGATACAAAGGAATACTTGAAGATAGCTTTGTATAGGAAATGTGTGGAAGATGGCTATCAACTAAAAGTTAACAAATCAAGCAAAGATCGTTTCAAAACAAGGTGTATGATTGACAAAAACTGTACGTGGCGTATGATTGCAATGAGGATAAAAGATTGCGAAATGTTTCAAGTTAGGACTTTTATTGATAAACATACATATTCAAGAACCCAAGTTTTTCCTCACCATAGACAGGCAAACAAAAAGGTGTTGGGTGGTTATCTGGCTGAGTTAATGTTTTTGAATGGCAGGGTATATCGGGGACATGAAATTATGACTGACATGAATGCTCGGTTCAAGATTAGTATCTCATATTCTCAAGCTTGGAGAGCCAAATATTATGCCTTGGAATTGTTGAGGGGGTCGCCAGAAGCATCGTTTGCCTAACTGTCGGCTTATTGTCACAATTTAAAGCTGAAAAATCTTGGGTTGGTAACTCATATCAAAACAAATAGAGATGGACGCTTTGAATTGATGTTTATCGCCATTGGTGCTGCGGTTAGTAAATCAATATAATTTTGTTGACTCATTTTTGTTAGTTACATGCATTTCACATTTAAATGATTATATTTCTTGTGTATATTATTTTGTAGATTCGTTCATTTATTACTTGCATGCGCCCAGTTATTATAGTTGACGGAGCATATTTGAAAGGTCGATACCTTGGAGTAAACTTATTAGCAGTAGTCATGGATGCTAACAATGGGATATTGCCAATAGCTTACGGGGTTGGCAAATCTGAAACCTCTGATTCATGGACATGGTTTATGGGGCATCTTAGGGATTGCATAGGTCCTATTAGCAATCTGACAATCATATCCGATAGGGCAAACTCAATTGACAACGATGTTAGAAGGTGTTTCCCATATG